TAAATTTGCTTATGTATTTTTATTAATAATATATTTAACTTTAATAGAGAAACGGGATAAAGAGAATTTTAGAAGGGCAAAGGGTGTTGAAAAAAATCCTAAGCCAATTGAATAAATGCTATCTGAATTACATTATATAAACGAAGAAGGGCAATGCTACGAATATTCAAAGATCATTCACATAATACAATGTTTTTTTAATTAAGAATTTTTTTAATGTATTATTTTGATTAGTTTATTAGGAACGAATGCAATTTTACCTAATAATTTTTTTTAAAAGTTTATTTAAGTTGTTAAAATCAAGCAGAAAATTTCGAAAAAAAGATATATACGCGGGTTTATTTTGTGCATATTTTTTTGATATTCGAGCAAATTTTCTTTATAAATAATTTTTTTATAAAATGAGTGAGAATTTCGCGCGTTATTAAATATAAACATACAGTAATTAAATTTTGCAATAAATATGTATTTAATCTTTAATCGAATATTTGTCATTTACGCCACAAATCACGTGGGGTGAAAAATTTGTTGGTGATACTGGGTATCGGTAAGATGATTTTAATAGCGTAACCCTTATGTTATACGTGAAATATAAAGCTTACTTCCCTCGTTTTCTTCTGAATTTTTTTACAATCATTATTTTTTTTTTTTCAAAAAAAAATATTATTATTATTTATTTTTTTGTCGGTAAAACATTCTCGTTTTTTCTTATTCTTTCGGTCGGTAAATTAACTTTCTTAAATACAAACAAACTAAGTTTTATTGAGTATAGCTTAGGAGATATTTTTGGTATAAAAAGCTGAGAACGAGGTTTTGTTTACATCCAAAATATCTAAAGAGTACTTCTGCAAATAGGTGAGTTTTATTGAGTTCGTATTTGCTGCGAAGCTTCAGCGCAAAAGGTAACCACCCGTTCTAACGAGATTATGTTTACATTCCGAACTCCCAGGTCCATAAAGAGAACTTCTGAAATAAGGCAAGTTTTATTGAGTTTTGTACTTGATTAGGCGAAGCTTCGGCGTAAAAAGGTTAATCCCGCGTACTAACGAGATCATGTTTACATATCGAAACCTCCCAGATTCCATGTCCTAAAGAAAGTTCTGTAGATGGGCAAGTTTTATTGTTGTTAAGCAACAAATAAAGCTCGCATAGGCAGGACTTCCTTCTTTTCATTTTACACCATGGGTTTTCAGAAACACAATCGCCAGCTAGTTATTATATATTACAAATTTTTATAGTAAATAAAAAATGTCAGAATGTTCAAATGCAAAGAATATTTAATATTTACAACTTTATTTTCCCTTTACATGAGGGTACGAGCTAGAGTTTAAACCTTTTTTATTCTTGTTAAAATGATAGAAAGATAAAAAAAGATTACTTAAGCACTGATCTCCATCCTTATTTCAATTGCTTGTAATCACTATCTAATTACATTGAGAGAGTGTATGGATCGGTTATATTATTAAATTAATCGAAGATCGAAGATCGAATCTTCGAGCGCGATTCTCAAATCGATTCCAATCTCTAAAATAAGGTAGATATTATACGTATTGTATAAAAGTTATTATTAATGTAACATACTCAATGTATATATAAATTTCCTTTTATTAAATTTTAAATTCTTATTTTATAAAATTTATTACACTTATGACCAAGCCCGGTAGTACATCAATCAATATTGAGATAAATATGTGATTTTTACACGTTTATTTCTTAAAGAGTTGATTTTCTTAATTCGATTGAAATCGTTTTTACGCTTATCTGAAATCTTTGTAACAGCAATGAAACAATGCCGTAAAACGGATAATATTTAAATCGATGGAATAATACACGTTGCATAATCGTGTTTAGTTATGATTGGATTTATTTTAATTTGTCATTTCAATGATAGCAAGGTAAAATTATCACCAAACTTAAAATTGGTAAGTGAACAAAGAAGATGATGTTGTTGATGTTGCTAAAGATATCAAATAGTTCATCGCAGTTGGCTTATATAAATATTTTCAGAGTTCAGGCATAATAAAAAGCTATTTTATTCATTTTTAATAAAAGAAAATAACATATTAAGAATAATCATTATCGTACGGTCTTTCTAAATATGAAATTTTAAATTCGTATTATTTTGATAAATCGAGCTTTTGGAAGCGCAATAAAAATATCTCAAGAGTCAGAATTTTTTTAATAAGAATTTTAAGAACAAAAACATGTATAACGCCATATATACAAATAAAAAATTCAAAGTACAATAGAAAACCGAGTAAAAAGGCTCAAAAAATTTGCCACAATTGTAAGAAGACTAATGAATATGTCAAATTATGTTCATGCAATAGTTAATAGTATTGAGGAAATAATTGGTAAAT